GTGATACTAAAGGGAAAAAAAAAGGAAATCAGCCAGGTTGTAGATTTGAGGGGTACAAAGAACATTTCTTCCACAGAAATGAGACATCAAAAAACTTTTCAGTGTTAATCCACCTTTTTTAAAAACAGTTTCTATAAAAATCTATTGGAGAAATATCTATATTTCAAACTAATGCAACAAAATACAAGACCTAGATTTAAAGTTAAGAAATGAGTGCTCTGGGAGCTGGGTTTAGTATCATACTGCCTCTTTAAATACCTAAGGGTTTTTTTTCCCTCTGAGCAGGGACCTCATATTGACAAAGAAATATTTTCAGGTTTTTTCATTCTCTTACAAATACAGAGCGGAGCCTTCAAAACCTTACTGCCAAGTGTTAGTGCTTACACAGTGTAGTCAATTGGACTACTCAGGGTAGTAAACACTACACCCGGGAGTACATTTTGCATGGTTATCTCCACAGATAGGTTTTGTACCAGAAAAGAACAGTAGCATGAATAGATATACTCATCTTCAACAAGCTGTAGTAAAGTGTAGCGCTGTAACTATCAAAATAGTCTTCAGAAAAGCAATCTTCATGCTACAGAAACTGATTAATAGGCCCTATAAAAACTTAATAGGAATGACCTTTCTTCATTGACATAGCTAATGTGAAACAATGCTGTTAGCTTTCACTTTGTAAAGAAGCACCAATGAGTACTATTTCTATTTGCAGTTCTCATGCTTTAGCTTTGATACATAATAATATTGCAGTCTGCCCAGTCCTATATAATGTTAGATCAGAGACAAAGAATCTAATGTGGCTTCTTCTGCCATTTTACTGTGTCAGGTTTTCATCCTCCTTTTATGAGGGTAACGGGCATAACATTTACAATGGTATGTGGAGCATTACGTGTTGACCTGAGGTCAAGATCTCTCTTGCTGTTATTTCTGACGGCTGTCAATATAATGGCCCCAGAAAACTTGGATTTCTACATTCTGTTGATGCCTTCTGGGATGCAGAAAACTCTGTTGTTTCCCTTGATTTAACTTCACTGAGTAATCAATGAGATTACTCATAGAGGGATACTAATGACATATGTAAATATCTGCAGAACTGGGGACTTAAAGCCAGATTTATAAAGGTATTTAGGTGCTTAACTCATGTCTAAACACTTAACATCCTTCCAGTTCCAGGAAGAATCAATAGAAGTCTAAGCAGGAAACTAGGGGCTCCTCTACATGTGCAGGGAACCTGCTCCCACATGCTGGAAATCCAGTGCGTTGGAGCAGACACAATTAATCGAGTCTGCTGGAGCATGAAAATTAACGCACTCCAGCAGATTCTAGCATATCAGCATCCCTTTATTGAAAAATGGTGGCGGGGAGCTTTGAACTAAAGTTCATCAAACGAGCTTTAGTTTAAAGTGATCTGCTGCCATTTTTTCAGCATGGGGATGCTGATATATGTGACAATTGGGCACTTTTAATTAGCGCAGCTTGCTAATTAAAGCACCCCCCCAGCCACACCTCCCGGAGCACATGTAAATATGTCCAAGAAGTTAAGTAAGTTTGGGGTCTGGCCCTAAATTAAAATCCAACTTTTTTGCCAAAATTCTTTAATCAAAATTAGAAAAGTTTGAAAAAAAACTAACCACTTCCAAACTGAACCTCATTATTATGTCAGTCTCTTCCTTAATGATGCATTCTCTTCAACTTAGTACTAAAATAATATTTAAACAAGAGGTATAATACCTGAGGAAAGTACCTGGGGCAGTCCTTTTTCATTCTTCCTCCAATCCTTCTGGCTTTACCATGAGACAGCATGGAGAAGCATGGCTAGGCAGTGTATGTCTTGGAGTACCAGGTGTTGTGGGCTCAAAATTCTCTAGAGCAGCAATGAGGTCCACTGCAGCAGTGGGTGATGGAGAAACTTTCACCCCATATGTTGAAAGGGGGAAAAAAATGCTGATTTTGGTGAATGGGGGTCAGTTCTTCCCCCTCCCCACTCCTTATCAACAGCCAACTAACTGCCACTTTACAAAACTACAATTCCCAGAATGCCTTGAACGCCATTACACACATCGCCTACACCAGCTGGTTCCTGGAGACCCCTGTGTGGGTGGAGATAGGACAGGAGGGTGAAGAATCCCCACCCTGTCCTTCTGGCACTTCTCTAATTAGGGGGTGCCTGGGGCATATGCCCCACTTCCACTTCCACTTCCATCCAACATTATGCTACTGTCTGTAGGGACTTCTCTTGGCTACATTTTTCAAAAATGTAAACAGCTACCTTTTTCATGTATGGGCTTGAGCTTTAAAAGCTAGTTGATCCTTCCATTTTATTCTTTTTTTTTTTTTAAATAAAATGTATATTTCCCCTAGAACAATTGTTTTTGGCATCAGGATACTGATCCAAGGCCTAAGAAAGTCAATGTGCATCTTTACAGTGATTTCAATGGCCATGTCTACATGAGACACTTTACTGCACAGTAGACTATTCTACTGTGCAATAAAGCATTGTTGTCTACACATGCAAGCACTTACAGTACAGTAAACCTAAAAAGCATTAATTGAATGTTCAGACACACCCAGTGGGCTTTAAATTAGGCCCATATTGTTCCACCTTACATATGACTGCTAAAAATATAAGCACCATACGGAATCATTTTTCCTATGTGTGCTTGAAAAAACTTTTTAAAAATTAAATGTCATTGTGGGTAGAATACCTCATATTAGGGGTTGATGAAATGGTCCGTATTTGATTCGGATTCGGCCCGAATCAGGGACAGTGATTCGATTAGTTGATTTGGATCACTGTTCCAATGTGATTCAGCCAAATCTGAATCTGAGGATTCGATGCTGATTTAGACAATCAGCGATTAGGCCATAGACACAGCTTTAAATGTTTTTTATACATACCACAAGGTACCAGGCACAGCTCATGAACACTGCGATGCTGGGGCAGATGTAGTGTCCCACAGGAGTGTGTGTGTGGGGGGGGTGGCCCTGCGTACTCAGCGGCACACCCAGAAGTGGACCAGAAGTATGTTCACTTACCAGTGGACCCAGTACTTCTGGTCCACTTCCAGGTCCACTACCAAGTGCACAGGGGAGCCCCCCGAATCCTTCCAGCTTGGTGGTTGGCCATGGGGGGACCCCAGGTGCCCCCCCTAGACCCAGAAAGCATCAATTGCCCAGCCAGGGAGGCCTGGGGGTCCCCACACACTCCATTGTAGACCCAGAAATGGACAGGAAGTGCTTCTGGTCCACTTCTGGGTCTGCTGTTGAGTGTGCTGGGAAGCCCCCCTGTGCTCCTGTGGGATGCTCCATCTGCCCCAGCATCACAGCTTTCATGAGTCCCCTGGTACCTTGAGGTATATAGAAAAAACATTTAAAGCTGTGTCTATATCTGAATTGCTGAATCTTTCCGAATCTCTCCAAATCGATTTGGAGGGTTCCGATTTGATTCAGAGAAATTAAAGGGTCTCCTGATTTGATTTGGATTCAAACATATGGCCACCGAATCAGGCCAAATCTCCACTGAATCTAATCAGCAACCAAAGCTTCGCACAGCCCTACTGCATATACTTTTCAAATTGCTCCTCCTCACTAAAAAAGACAAAACAAAACAAACTTTCCAGAAGTAACCATTTTACTTTTTTACTTTTCTTGTTAAAACAGAGAAACTTTTTACTTTTTTCTGGAATTTTTTTAAGCTCATTGTTAGTTTGCAGTCCCATCTCTATAACCAGAATTCATATTATGTCTATATAAAGAACAAAACATAGACTTTTGTATCAAAGAACACAGAATACATATTTCTTCAGGTACGGGTTATAGCTATTCTGAAAACAACATGGTTACTGAATTCTTAGAAATGTAAAGGTACTGTACACAGAAAACATGTAGCATACTACATTGTACACATGATACAAGCATAATAAAAACTCTACGTGCAGAATTTTGGTACATTTTTTCTCCTTTTTTCAAGTTTCTAGTGTTGTTCATATATAACATCTGCTATAATACTTGTTTGTGGAGGAATCCTGTGCAGAAAAGTAGGGTTCCATTCCTAAAATATGTTATGCAAAGCCCAGACTAGACTAAATGTTTTGGGTGAAATCCTGGCCCATTGAAGTCAATGGTAAAGCCCCTGCTGACTTCAGTTGGGGCAAGATTTCATACTTGGTGTGCATCACACAGAAGATTTTTAAGATTCTTCTCTTGGGGAGCCTGGCACTTACCACTATGCAGCTTGTCTGATGAAAATAATGTCAGCATCTACTCCTGGGTGTTAGGATTTGACTACAATCATACTCAAATCATTACTGAAAATGATGCTTCCATCTTTTTTATGGCTACATTCTGGCTGGCACAGAGCCTCTTGGAGGCGCTTCTTAAGATCAAGAGGTGCAGTGCCCATGAAGTTTTTAGTCCCTGTCAAGAAATCCATCATGTGACCCCCAGTCGTATCACCTTCAATAAAACATTTGGTGATATCCCAGCCAGATGGGAAATCGTACACTTGGTATTCAACTCCCATTCCCTCCAAAATATCTTTGACGTCATCAGATGTGATGTAGTGGCCACTGTCAGTTAAGGGCAAGCAGTGCCTGTATTTCTTCCATATGCTGGCCCATCCGCTGCTACCTGTTGAACACAGTGCCAGAAAGGTTAGTTTCACAAGTCCAAAATGTTCACATATTAGCAAATTAAGCCAATCTGCAAGACAAGTATTTCTGATCTAATATTTCACATCTCTTATTTTAAAAAAAATCCTACCTGATAAAATTATGATCAGAAGTTTGCCACTTTGGTCCAGGCAGCTGTGGAAAAACTTGATGGTATTTGTAATATCATCCACACGGTAAAGCATCTACAAATCACAAAAAAGTGACAAACAGCTATACAGCCATGGTTATGTCATCCTGTCTTTACAGTGCAACGGGGCATTTTTAAGATTTAACTCGTTTCATTGCATTATATCAAGATGATATGTCACGGTCTATTCTTATCACAAATAATATTAATGTAAATGCTTGGAGAACAAAGAGTTTTAAATTTCATGGTGAAACTGAAGGACTGTGGGAAGAGAAGCATGAGAAAAATCACACTGATGATCCAAGAGGAGTATCCTTGAACTGAATACATCAATCTCTGTCTTGAAGTTTTCTCTAGTGCTCATCATAGCATCTGATTGCTGACACACATGCTGAGCTGAATCACCCAGCACTGGATAAAGCTGACCACATTTATGATGTGATGAAGTCTGGCATAAAAAATAATCTCTCCTCAATGGATAATCAGCATGGGCAGATTTACAAATGAGCAATTTATGGAATTCTGCCTCGCTCTAACTTCTTTCCTGAACAACATGTACACAACAAACAGGTACCTAGGACTGGAAGGGATCTTTTGGACCATCAGGTCTAGCCCCAAAATGGCATATATTTGTGAGCACTTATATATTACATTAGATTAGTGGATTCATAGACCCCAGCGACCATTATGATATTCTAGTGTGACATTTTGTATATGTAGGCCAAAGATCTTTTGTTCCAGAACTTGGATTAAAACATCTTTTGGAGGGAGATCTAATTTCATTTTTCAAATGCCAAGCAGTGGTGAACGCCCCATGGTAAATTGTTTTGATGTTTAATTACCATAACATTTAAAGTTTCATTCTCCAGCTTCCCACATCCCTTTGAAGGATGGAGAACAGAACTGGACACAGTATTCTGGCAGTAGACTGAGGCATCTACTGAGGCAAGATCACTACTCTGTTTCTACTTGTTATCTCTTTGGTTATACAAGCAAAAAGATCAAATTAGCAGCTTTAGCCACAGATTGTTTATGGATATTAATTAACTTCAGCTTCCATTTCTGACTAAAATAAACAATTTTGTTTCAATTTTTATCTCCTGTGCATTAGGTATAAGGGTATTTGCTTTCTGTCTTCATAAATACAGGCTTTTTTATTCCACACAAAACTCTCATGTTTGTATTCAATATGTGCAAGGAAAATCCAATTTAGTTCTATGAGCCTGATCAAAAGCCCATTGAGTCAACTAAATGACCTCTATTGACTTTAATGGACTTTGACCATAGTGTTATGTTCCCTACTTATACAAACATTTTAGAAAGGTCAGAAGGTATTTAAGTAACTATACCCCAGACATAAAAATAGCACAATCCTTAATTTCCTGTTATCACTGATTATGTATCATGATATGGTTGAGTTTTAAGTTGACTCAAGGGATTTTGAGGAGACTTTCGTGGAAGGCATGCTGTTGCACTTTTGCAAATAACACAATTTCCTCTACCATCTGGCACTACCAGATGGTGCTGATCACTGTTGGTGACAAGCTAGAGGACTATCTGCACCACAGACCTGATCCAATTCAACAGTTCTCAAAGGTACAATGCAAGTTCGGGGCACCATGGTGCTAGGTTCTGTACAAACTATTAAACAGACATGGTCTCCGCTCCCTAAAAAAGAGCAAGCAATCTAAACCAGATCTCATGGCACCCCAGGGTACCACAGCAGCCTGTCTGAGAATCACTGATCTCAACTGACACTAGGAGGGTGCTCCAGAGAGTAAGGAAGCATACAAGCAAAGTTGTTAGAGGAAAGAGGGACACAGCTGGAGACAGAAAAATGTAATATGGGGGAAAGGAGGAATGCAGGAGAGTATAGATGCAGAGCGATCCAGTTAGGACAAACAACTAGGGCAAATGTTTGGGACAATGAGGAGACAACTCTCTTTTCCCTACTACCAAGGTTGGGTGGCGGGAGGAGAAGATGGTCCCAACTTGGGTCTGGTGGGGATGGTAAGAGCAAGCCTCTACCAAGAAGGAAAGATGGCTTGCATTGTACACATTTTTACTGGATAGTTCTCTGGTGCACTGGGTTAGTAAAGTCACAGCCCAGTTAAATCACATCCCTGGTGTCTTGTCTTTCTTCCTGCCTTATCCAGGGTGGTGGCCTTTAGCTCTGCTAATGTATATGTCTCCAGAGTGTTGTAGCTCAGATACTTCAAACTAAATTTTCTTTTTGATGGTCTGGAGAGTGACTCCTAGAAGAACTGGCCAGGGAAAAGTGGAGCAAATGTGTATTGATGTAGGTAATCCATCTGAGAATTTCTCTTTCGCAAAATTAAACACGGTGTAAAATATTAAAGAAACATGACTAACTACTACTACCTACTATCTAATTATATGATCTACAGGACTAGTCACTAGTCACTCAAGACAAATTGACCTTGTAAAATGAGGTTAATGACTGTTTCAGCCAGGGAGGCAATATAATTTTAATGCTTTACCTGAAAAGCAATCTGCCATTTCCAATGCAAATCAAGTTAACGCATTGTGTTACCTAGATGTTATCACTGCCAGAACATTTTCATCCCCTTATTGATATCACAGACCAACCACAAGGGATTCTGTGTGGAATAGAACAGCAAATCGGGCTCTGCAACAGAGAGTAGGATGGCTTGTAGGAAGGAATTTTTTACAATTTTTGTCATATTTTCTGCTGGCATTTTTCATCATCCCATGATTATGAATTCACACCCACTATCAGAAAGGAATCTCAGCAAGATCTATGTCCCCTACCAGTGCATGAGTTTTATAAATCCCTTCATATAAGGCATGTTCCAGGCTTTCTAAGATGTTGTCACCATCCCTGCATAACACCTTAATTAATTTTGCCCATTGTAACACAGTCTACCTCTGTGGCTCCTCAAAACCCTGCATTCCACTTTGGATAACTGCTACATTACTATTCATCACAATTGATGCTATGCACATTTATTTCATAGAAAGTAGCTTTCAGATAAATAGCCCCTGCCACACCACAACAATTGCTTTAGCCTCACCTTAGATCCATTCTCTCTCTCACTCCGTTGAATTTTCTGCTGCATTTACAGGTTAAGGGAAGTAGGAACCAGAATACTGAAAAGTGGAGGTGTGGATGAACTGTTCACAAGTTAAGACCATTAAAGAGTCTTGTAAACCAGGTGTGAGGAAATGCTCAGTAATAAACTGTTAATTCCCACATTCCTATATTGTAATAATTTGACTTGAAGATGAGTTTAGCCCTGAAGACCTTGCAGTGTTTTGGTCTTTCCTTTGCCATTTGGCAATAACTGCCCCCTGCATTGTCCTAGCAGCACTGACCACACCTAGAACCAATATTCAGGCTACAGTGCTGGAATGTATTTAAGTTGGGTTTTACTTAAACCAGCAGGTTTAGGTTGCAATTCTGAGTGGTAGGAAAGAAATGATTAAACAGTGCCAACCCATTAGGGAGAACCTTGGGTGCTCCTTGACTGAGTTCAAGACTACACTGGGATTTTTTTTGTGGCTGATTGATTGATTGTACTTCTGCCAGAAAGGTGGAAAGTGACTGTACAGAGCTTATTTGGTAGACAGTATGTTAAAACAATCACAGAGAAGTAGGGCTGGAAAGGACCTTATGAGTGCCTATACATGAGCATGGAGGCTGCTCCAATGCACTGGAATTCCATTTGATTATTTGAGTTTGCTGGAGTGTGGCAATTACCATGCTCCGGCAGCCTCCTATGTCTCTGACTGCACAAATACAGGCTGGGAAATGACAGGCTTGGCTGCAGTACTGCAGAGAAGAACCCAGGGGTTACAGTGGTCTATAAGCAGAATGTGAGCCAGTGTGCTCTTGCTGCAAAAAAAGACCAATAACATACTGGGTTGTATTAACAGGAGTATCACTTGCAAATTAAGAGGAGTAAATCTTCCACCCTGTTCAGCACTGGAGTATTGTGTCCAGTATTAAGCCCCACACTTCAAAAAGGATGTGGATAGATTGGAAAGAATCCAACAGAGACCAATTAAAATAATTAGAGGCCTGGGAAGTATACTTTATAAGGAAAGGCTGGAAGAACTAAGGGTTATTTCATTTGGAGAAGAGAACACTGTAGGGGGATTTTAAAACAGTCTACAAATACCTGAAGGGAAATTATAGAGAGGATGGAGAGGGACTTTTCTCTTTCTCATAGGGAACAGACCTTGGAGCAATGGCTTCAAGGTGCAGCAAGGGAAATTTAGAGATTAGGAAGAACTTTCTGACTATAAGGGTGGTTAAGCATTGGAACAAACTACCCAGAAGAGTTAGAGACCATAATGACAGTCTCCACCCTTTCAAATTTTCAAGAGCTCATTGGACAGACACGGCTGGAATGTTTTTGCCTGGGATGAGCCTGGATTAGATGACCAGGTGACTAGATGAACATCTGCTGGACTAGATGACCTTGTGAGGCCCCTTGCTATGATCCTATTAATTCAAAAGAAGGGGTAAAAAGAAAGAAAAAGAAAAAAGAAATAGATTTGAGGAGAACAGATAAAACGAAAGCTTCAATTTCAACAAAAACAGATGAAAAAAACCCCAAAATGCATAAGTTTTATAATAACCAAACCATCTTTTTCAAAGTTTCCAGTGAAAAATTTAAAATAGTTCTCCTGTACATACCCCACAGGACACCAGATGCTGTATGGGCTTTTCATGACCTTCAACCTGCCCTACAACCATGCCCCTATCTCCCTGCCCCAGGTATTACCAATCACTCATCATTGGGCACTCAGCCCCCAATCTCTGTTCCAGTTCATTCAGGCCTCCTTGCCTTTTCTCAGTCTCTGCCCCTGGGGCTCAGTCACTGCCCATCCTAGAGCTCAAGTTGCTATTTCTCTGTCTGCTTCTGGGCTATGGGCCCCTGGCTCTAGTTCTAACCCCTTGGGTTGTGGGCTCCCTAGCCATGTTTGTTCTCATCCACTTTAGGCTATGGGCTCCTGGCACCAGTTCTCACCTCTGTCAAGCTGGGGTTCTGCCCCTCTGGGCTACAGGCCACTAGCCACAGTTGTTGCCCCACGTGTTCTTGCCTCTTGGGTCACTGTGCTTCAGTCTCTCACTCTTCCCTAGGCTTGCTTCCCCTGGCCAGAGCCTATTCTGTGTTTTGGGCCCTGGCCCCTAGCGGGGCTCCCCGACACAGTCACATGCCACTCTGGCACCACTGGGACCTCCTAACCTCCTCTATCAGTGCCATCCTGTCCTCTGGTTATAACTATACCCAAAATTTAAGCACCCTGGCCACCATACAAACTGTAAGCCTACTGGCTATACCAGGAACCTACCCCGGTAAGCCTTTAATTCCTTACTTGTGGTCTTCATGGCAGACAGCTCCCAGTATATCTCTCAGCCATGGTTCCTTGAGTGCAGAGCTCCTTCTCTGGGCAGCTTGCCATCCTCAGGGCAAGCAGCCTGAGCCAGTCACTCATGTAGAGTCCTTTCAGGGCAGAGCTCCATCCCTGGCCACCTGACTCGAGTCCTGGGCTTTTCTACTTCCTAAGCCTTGCCCCCTCCAGGTCAGGTGACTCTCCCCCCCACCTGCAGGGATTGCTCATCAGGAGCTGCCATCCAGTTTCCAAGGGAGCTGATGATTACTGCTACTGCTGCTTCCTCGTTGTCCAGTTGGGCACTGCCCTATTGTCTTGTGGCAGCACAGCTACTCCTGCACTAGGCACTCCTGTCCTTTGGTATCTAATTGCCTGCCTTCTTGTAGGCAGCTCGCTCTGAGCAGTATTCCCTTGGCTGGCTGCAGATGTTCCCCTGTGTTCCAGTTTAACAGAACCTAGACTAGTGTTACTTTTTTCTCTCACTTGTTGCATTTTATTTTTAATTACAATTAATTAGTGATGGCAGGAACAGTTACATGTTTTCACAGAGCTTACTGGTGGTCTTATTACAAGGGGTCTTGCATCTTCTCCTGCCAAGTCTTTACTGGGAATTGTCAGAGAAATGACTGTAGACTAGGTGGAGCACAGGTCTATTCCAGAGCGGTACCTCCTAGTCTTATGATTTTTTTTGTCACTTACAACTGGCAAATATTTTGGAGTTAACACTGCATATTTCTCTGTATCCTTTATGCCTAATTGAATACCATTTTGAATATTACTGCAATGCGAATAATAAAAAAATCATAAGAAATAGGATGGATGTGATTTCTAATGCCACTTTCAAAGAGAGATGGTTATATCCCAAGGTCATCTACATAATGCATAGAGAGTTAGTATGCAGTTCAATAAGCCTGCAGAAGAAGGGAAACAGGGTGAAACACCCTATTAATCAAAGCCATGCTGCTTAAAAATCAGGATGCCACACGGAGCAAGAATGCTTGCTCACACTCCAAGCTGGCTGCTGGGTACTCAGTATGTATGAATGCCATGTAGTAATTATTACCCAGTTCTACACTCTCCACAGCAACCACAATATAAAAATCAAGGCATCCTGCAGTAAAATGGAGATGATGGTATGACTTTTTCCAAGCATGTGAGAACGTACCTGGTGATATATAGCGATCATTTCAGCCAGTAATTCTCTCTTTTGCGGAATACAATTGATAGTTACTACCTTGCACAAATCGTCCCCATTTCCAAGGACTGTGCAGTGACATCAGCAAAAGAGGATAATAAAACTGATGTTCAGGCACCACAGTGATTAGATTCAATGGCAGGTTTTGGGACAACGGATTTTAGCTCATCACCAAGAGCAGAGCTTTAAGGCAGCCTTCAATACTGACCTAAGGGAAAATCTCTGTGAGAGAATATGTTCATTTTCTAGTCCCACTACATCATTAACTTCTGCAGAGATTAGTGCCAGTTTGTTGTGATTTTCTGCTGAGGACATGTGCCCACTGGGACCCGATTCGTAATCACCGTGTTCTTTCAGATAGGCCACTGAAAAGCCCAAAAGCCTGATAGTAATGACTTTTGGATATAACAGACTCAGGCTGGGCTTGAATCAAACAAAATCTGTCATGTTATTAAAATGTTTATAAAGTGGGAAGGGGGGCAGGATGTGCCCCTCACTGCTCAGAACCTTCTGACGTGAGGTCCTGTCTCAGCAGAAGGTTTTACAACCACATAAATAATATTAAAATAGTATTTCTTTACCTGAATCATATGTATGAAGTCAAATTTCTTTGGTGCATTTTTTTCTTTCACTTGCTGTTCATACTCAGTGGAAGTTATCTGGTGCCAAATAAATGAGACATTCTGAAGATCAGGAGATTTATTAATTAATGCTGTTTATAAAGTAAAAAAACAAACAAACATGAATTTCACCAAAAAACCCCCAAAACCACCTAGGTTAATATTCATAACTACCTCGTATCAAAACACAGGCATCCTCTTGCCTTAACAATGTGCGCCGTACCTTTGTATGATGCAGCATGCTGTGGATTGGGTTCTATGACTTCGTTATTAATCAAGACTCCTGGGTGCTGTGCCTGCATTATCCTGATCATTTTCAAGTCCTGTTCACCTAGACAATAAATACGTAGTAAATACTTTTAAAATGTCAAAAAAGAAGTCTATTATGAAGCAGTCAGCTATTACATCATCTGATCAAAAATCATGCCTTTTCTAATTTTTTTTACAGTAAAATATAATCTAATTATGGTAATAATCTAGTAGGTGGTTCAAGCACCTACAATGAACACCTTCAAGAGAAATTTGGACGCTTATCATGCTGGGATCCTATGACCCCAGCTGACCTTCTGCCCCTTGGGCAGGGGGCTGGACTCGATGATCTTCCGAGGTCCCTTCCAGCCCTAAGGTCTATGAAATCTATGAAATACCAGTACCACTGTACCCATACAAGCAGTTTGCATAGTATAAACAGGAAAATGTAACGGAACAAGGAATAATGGGACATAGAAACAATGAAAGCTAAGCAGTAATGGGACCTACTAAAGGTGGTACTTACTTGGTTACATGGCAAACCAATCAAAGTAATTAGGATAAATAAACAATGTTAGTTATTTGCTTAATTCTAAGCAAGCTGAACAAAAGAGTGATTATTTATCCTAAGGTAACTGGTTCTTCCAACTGTGTTGTCCACACAAGTTCTATAGAAGTTTCTGGTCAATAGATTCCACTGGGGCTGCACATGATACCTATGTGATTTCACATCATCCAAAATGATGACACAACGGCAAGAGTGGGATAAGTCACCCATCAGTTCTTTTGTCAGAAGTGTTGGACTCTAATAGCAGGGAAAGAGGCTGGATTGTAGAATTGTGTGAACAATGTGTCATATTTTGTTGCATATAACACACAACTTTTCTCCCAAAACCAGTGCCCCCCCCCCCCC